GTTTGGGGACCAAAAAGGGGTTTTAACCTTCTTATATTATAATTTAAAAGTAATAATTTTTATAAATTTCAAAACTCTTTTTTCTGTTGCTTAATGGAGAGTCAAAAATATTTTGATAATCAATTGGAAAGTCAAGAATATGTTGACAACCAATTGGAAAGTCAAGATTATTTTGATAATCAATTGGAAAGTTGAGATTATTTTGATAGCCAATATAATGGTATTTTTTTTCCTTTCCTTATTTCTCATTTCCCGTTTGTGCACCCCTTTTTCTATCATATTACTTAATTTTATATTATTTTACACAAGAATCATTGAGGATACTCATGAATCATTATGGAATTGCACATCTAAAAGTCCTTCCAAGAAGAAGTTGAAAAAAGCAAAGAATAATGTATCAACTGACCAACATATTCCACTGCCTAATACTGTAAACTACTCTGTTTGTCAAATATGTGATACTCCTGGACATTTAGCTACAGTTTGCCTGCACCGATATGCTGTAACTTGTCAACTGTGTAATCATGAGGGTCATATTGCAAAAATTTACTCGAATCGTTATCGATCACCATCTTTGTCAAATCCACCCAAAACCCTTGCTAAGTCTTTCGAAACTATTACAAAGATTTTTTGTAATGGTAGGTGTCTTACATTTGAAAAAAAGTATTGGGATACTATTGTTCAAAAATTACGATCCATCCAAGAACCATAATATAATTATCTTACTTATGTTTTTCAATTTTTTTTCCAATTTCTCTTGTTTTCTTGTGATTAGCTTATATATTTTGACATTACAACATTTATTAATGATTTCTAAGTATTTCTCACGTTAATTATTAAGAGTTTGCATGAAATTCTTTTACTTTGTGAACCACATAGTTCAAGAGTCCAATCTTACATAGTAGAGTCGACTGTAAAGGATTAAGAATTGACTCTCAACATAGAGAGTTGACAATTTGAAGGGAAAAAATATGGCACTTACTGGCATTTGGTATTCGACTCTCCACATCGTAGAGTCGATTCTTTTGATTTAGAGTCGACTCTATGATGGAGAGTCGACTATAGGCTGCAGAAAATTAAATTCCAGTATACTGGAATTTGGTAGTTGACTCTTCATATCATAGTGTCGACTCTATGATGGAGAGTCGACTATAGGCTGTAGCAAATTAACTTCTAACATACTAGAATTTGGTAGTCGACTCTGAATCCAAAAGAGTTGACTCTATAATGGAGAGTCGACTATAGGTTGCAGCAAATGCATTTGCTGCTTATTGGAATATAGGAGTCAACTCTTGCTGCTTGATAGTTGACTCTCATATGCCTGAAGAGTCGAATATAGGCCTATATTCGACTTTTTAGTCCATTTCTGTTGTTTAATTTCCAAAATTTGCTGTTATCGTTTCCTTTTTTTTTTTTTCAGGAACATCAACTATGTAAAAAATATTAATGAATCATTAAAACCACATGCACATCAAATTTTAAAACCACATCCATAAATTGCCATTCAAGCACACTATGGACTACCAACTTGCTTGCCATCAATGGAAGCACATCAAGAACATAATCAACCAATACAAATCATCACAATTATGCCAATGTTTTAAAAACCAGACTGGACCGGTCGATTGAACCGATCGAACCGATACCCGATACCATAAACGGCTCCGGTTAAGGTTTAAAACCGATAAAGCGGTTGAACCGTTCAAAACCGATAAAACCGTTCGAACCAGTACAAACCGTTAAACCGTTCAACCGAACGGTTTAAATCTTTTGGAAATTTTCCCATAAAGTTGTCACCTGCAGGCTTCGAACACAAGACTTAAAGGGCATTTTCAATTACCTTTGCCACTGGGGCACGACCTCTACAATTAAAAAGAGTGGATTAAAATTTTATTTATTTTATATTTTGAAAGAAAAGAATCACACCGCCTGACGCGAACTTTCTTTTCTTCTATAATTAACTTTTTGCTCTTCTATAATTAACTTTCATATTAAAATTAATATAATGTTAATCTAATTTTTATCTTAAATATATAAATTAAAAGTGTAATAAATATAAACTTTTATAATTAATTTATATAAAAATAAAAATTGATGTTTATTTTAAAAAAGTAAAATGATTTTAATTAATTAAT